TTGTTGTTGTTGTTCCTGGTGACTGGGTAGTAGTTGTTGTTGTTATCTCTGGTGACACTGTTGTAGTTGTTGTTGATGTCGCTGGTGGCTTGGTGGTAGATAATGTTTTTGTCTCTGGTGACTTGGCAGTTCTTGTTGTTGTTGTTGTTGTTGCTGTTGTTGTTTCTGGTGACTTGGTAGAAGTAGTTGTCATCTCTGGTGGCTTGGTGGTAGTTAATGTTGTTGTCTCCGGTGACTTGGCAGTTGTTGTTGTGGCTGTTGTTTCTGGTGACTTGGTAGAAGTAGTTGTTGTCTCTGGTGACTTGGTGGTAGTTGTTGTCTCTGGTGGCTTCGTAATAGTTGGTCTTGTTGCTTTTGGCGACTTGGTGGTTGTTGTTGTTGTTTCTGGTGACTTAGTAGTAAATGTTGTTTCTTGTAACTTGGTGGTAATAGCTTTTGTTTCTGGCGACTTCGTAGTAAATGTTGTTTCTGATGACTTGGTAGTTGTTGTTGTTGTTATTGTTGTTGATGTTTCTGGTAACTTGGTGGTAGAAGCTTTGGTAGTTGTTGACTTGATAGTCGATGTTTCTGGCGACTTGATAGAAGTAATTGTTGTTTCTGGCGACTTGATAGAAAGAATTGTTGTTTCTGGTGACTTGGTAGAAAGAGTTGACTTTACTGGTGACTTGATAGAAGTAATTGTTGTTTCTGGGGACTTGGTGGTAGTAGTTGTTGTTTCTGGTGACTTGGTAGTAGTTTTCGTTGTTTCGGGTGACTTGATACTAGTTGTTGCTGTTGTTCCTGGGGGCTTTAGAGTTGTTGTTGTTGGTGCTGTCTTGGTATTAGTTGTTGTTGTGTTTGGTGACCTGAGCGTTGTTGTTTTTGTTCCTGGTGGATGAGGAATTGTTTTTGCTGTTTTTGTCCCTGGTGACTTGGTAGTTGTTATCGTCGTTTCTGATGGCTTGGACGCTGTTGTTGATTCTAGTTTCTTTTTAGTTGTAATCGTGGTTTTTGGTGACTTGGTTGTAAGTGTGCTTGGTGGTTTGGAAGTTGATGTTGTTGTAGTTGTCGTTCCTGTTGACTTGGAAAATGTCGTTGCCCCTGATGATTTAGGAGTTGTTGTTGCTGTTTTAGGCGACTTGAAACTGGTTGTTCCTGGTAATCTGGAAACTATTGCTGTCCCGGGTAATTTGGTAGTAGTTTGTGATGTTATTGGTGATCTTGCTGTAGTTGCTGTGGTTGTTTCTTGCAGTTTGGATGAGGCCACGACTGTTTCTGGCGTGAAGGTAGCGATTGTACCTACATGTAAAACCAGACAGGATAAGTGAGGCAATCACAAAGAAACAGTTCAAAATTGTTTAAAGAGGTTTCGTACCTGAAGTTGAACATTTAGGGCCAGTACAAGAAAGGCATCCAGACTGACACGTACTGAAATGAAAGTTAATATAAGATGCGTCTTTTAGTCTTTAAGTTGTGAAGTAGACCATATGGTGACGATAGGAGAAACTCCGTTAGCTTAAAGGAGCTCAGTGACGTTGTTTTGAGTTATCGTGGCCGCGTACAAAATTGCATTTAAATTGTAGGAAACCTGAAAATAATAGTTTACTAAGATGGAAAAATAGCAAAGGGATAGTAATATACCATAAAGGAGCAAGGATGGTGAAGGAGGGAGAAGATTGACACCGATTACAAACGACGAACTTTAAAAATTAAGTTTTCAAGGTGCGTAAATCGTAACCTGGCTAATGTTTTTCTGTGTGAAAAGGAACTTTGATACACCACACGAAATGTGTGATACTCAGATTGCCACTTATTACAACGTTGCCGCTTATATTGCACTGAATTTCTCTTCTGAGTTATGTGCAGGTTTTAAGTAAATTTATAATTTGAAAAATAAATGATAATTAAATACTCTTAGCTTTCCAAAAATGCATGCTCACCATCTTTGACAGTCCTTCACAATAACTGATCCAGACTTGTAGTCGACCCCTCCCACCTGACAAGGACAGCTCCCGGGCTCAATGCATTTCCCGTCATGCAGTACTGTGCCGTTTGGGCAAGAACATCCCTCAAATCGCACGGGACAACGAGATGGAGTGAAGTCACAAAGGTTTTCACACGTTTTGGGGCAGGCTGTTCCGCAGGCGGTGTACTCAAAGCAATTTTTTCCCTCGCGTGGACACTGAATGGCTGTATAAGGAAATGAAACAAAGACATGTCAAAAGAATCAAAAGCTCAGACCCTACTATTCTTCAAAACATGGATGACATTGTTCACCGTATAAATATTAGCAGGCAGATTCCCTGGTGATTTGTCTTGTAGGTGGGGTTCTTCTAAAACAAAACCGGTGTCTGACATAGAACGTAGAATGTGGGATTTATCGTCCTCTGATTCACGGAAGCACGTCATTGGCAATGCATTCCCCTTAGACGCCTGAATTAGAAAGCGTTTAACCTTCTTATTATTTTCTATGGTTGGAAGGAAACAAGTCTCCAGTCAGTTTAGAATTATGCTCTGTAAATAACGCCTTCTATAATTTGGCTCTGCTTTGTGAATTTTAAAAATAAACATGCTTTAGAAATCCTCAATCATAAAATTTAACATTTCCTTTAAAAAAAACATATAAGAGTGATCGTGAACCGCAAAACCATAGAATCTGGATCGACGAATAAGGAGTCTTTACTGACTTGGCTATATAGTTCGTTCCCTTCCAGCTGGGCATTAGGGCGGAAGAACTTCTAATTTAGTTAAAACTTAAAAACACTCACGGCAAAGTTCCTGTGTCCTCCACTTGATTGGCACCCCATGCTTACAGCACTCGTGACCATACGAAGCAATGGCTGTACACAGACACTCGCAATCACCACCGCTGTCACACGCGCAGGCATCGCGGTAGCATGCATCGTACCAGGGATCTGGGTCTACCTGAGGGTCGGACATAAAATAAGGATCAGCTCAGGCAAATACAACCTCTGCAATTATTTGAAAAAGTATTAATCAATTGAATAAATTCTGGTCATTATTATCACTCAATCATAGGGAGCGTGAGCACTTTGAAAGTTGCAGATCACGCCAGATTTTTTGGTATTACGAAATTAGGACAAATCAGATGCCATTGACGTCCGTACGAAAACAATAATTATGATGAAATGCGTGTTCAGGCGCACGCTATATGATAATCTTTTCCATTGTTATTTGGAAAGATCCCTTTACATGGGTAGAGTCCGTTTCAATGCTGAGTATCGGAATGAACGGGTGGCTTCTCTATGGCTACGTGTAACTAAGGTGTATGCAGCCTTAATCGCAAAGTTTTACTGGTCTAAAAAATTGAATTCATATGTGTCTCTAAATGACTATTCTTAGTCTGTGTTTTTTCCGTCCACGAGCAAGACTCCATCAAAGACACTTAATGAAACTCTATGAGTTCGTCATCAGCAGGATTTGTTGGAGTCAAATCTAAGATGTCTTTCTAACGGCGGTACGAGAGGTCTGCACTCAGCAAGGTTTAGTTGAACTTGGGTTGGTCTACAAATAGTCCAGACTCTAAACTCCCTTTTCCGTCCGTCTTGAGTTCCCGGGAGGGTAAGGGAATAGACTAGTTTACCGAAGATGTCATGTCAAGCCTCGGACTTAGTTGATTATAGTCTGAACATAAACACAAACCACAATGAATCACGTTCAGATATCTCCACAGAGAAGCAGACAAACATCGATCTCCATTTAGCAACCACGATTCTGTTCTATAAAACGTTGCCACTAACCACTTCATGACAAGGCTTAAACACATCTCTCCGAATGACGCTGCACATCTTGTGAGCCCACGGTGCACGGTGCTTGTTCGTCGCGCAAGGATTCTTGGGAACGACTGCATCCGGGCATGATGACTCGACTTTCCAGCTGTCGCCGAAGTCATTGGCTAAGGTCTCTGGTAACATTTGTGGAGTCATGAAATCGTCGTTCCTGTCATCGTTAAAGTTTCCACACAAACCGCAGGTTTGTCCTGATAAAGAACACCTTGTATGTTTTTACGATATCTGCAGAGATTCTCGCGCACTCATTGGTTGATTTTCATTGTCAATAAGCGGACAGACACATGAATTTACAATTTATGCGATGGGTCAACGAGCGAGAGCGGACAATTTGACAATTTGTCATTGTAAAAAAAAACAAATTGACATCCGTTTTTCACGCGTCTGTCCTGTTATTGACAATGAATTTTCTCATAACATTGTCAACGTGGTCAGCCTTAGCTGGTTTTCATGCGGTTCCCCTATCCTGGTCGAATTGGAATTTGGAGTGTTGGTTTTTTCGTAGGAGGGAAAACCGGAGAACCTGGAAAAAAACCCTCGGACTAAGGCAACAGCCAACAACTAACTCAAACTACACATGACACCAGGCTGGAATCGAACCCGGGCCCCCTTGGTGGGAGGCGAGCGCTCTCGCCACGGCGCCCCCGGGGGGAACTCCCTTGTATGGGCTATATAGGTATGTGCGGCCCCAAAGGGTATGGTTTTCAGCTGTTTTGGTCATAAATAGGGTATCGATTTTAGCTGATTTTGGCCAATTGGTCATAAATAGGGTATGGTTTTTGCACTCTAGCCTTGATATGGGTATGTTTTTTAAAAAGAGCCACTTTTTCGTCATTATCGAAAAGAAAATCAACAAAAGCCCTTCACAAATTATGTTTACGGTGATTTAACATTGGTCTGAACTAGGGAACTAACTATAACGCAGGTCTGAAACAGGGTTTTGATTTTAGGGTTAGGTCATAAATAGGATTTCGAATTTTTGGTCAGGTCATAAATAGGGTAGGGGATATCGCAGATTTTGGTCATAAATAGGGTAAGGGTTTTGGGAAGCAGGCCGCACACCCAGCCCGATTTTTCTGGGAGTACCCCCCCTCCCCCCGGGACTACGCCATACTTGCTCCCCATAAAACCATCATAACGTAAAGCAAGGTTTTCAAGTTGCAGTTAGTTAGTTTACTTGCCTATTTCCCCACTTACAGAACAGAAAATTTCGACCTTTACCACTGACCTTTGAACTTTGGGTCTAGAGTGATGTACAGCCTTGTTCCTCTGTCCCACGTGACTGTCAAGCCAAGGTCAGTCTCTAAAACAATGAAGAAATGGCGCTCGCTGATTTGGAACCGCACTGTGATACTGGAGCCTGAAGCGCCGGGCAGCGGTGACACGAAAGGTGCTTTCTCTCGTTCTAAAACAATCAATGTGTTATTGATGGTAATGGTAACTTTTTTGGTGCATGTTAAGCCGCTGCTCCCACAAGGCATGTTCTGGGCCTGTATTTGGAAGGTGCCAGTCGACGTGGCATTGCAGGAGTCCTGCGCAAGGAGATACTCACAGGCTCCACTGAAAGTGAACCTTCTGCCGTCAAAGGTGATGTAATTAAGTTCGCCGTATACTGAGCATGTCCCGGGGCAGACGTGATTGGTACACGACCATTGAGTGCCTTGGCAAGAACTAAAAAGATATCGAAAGAACATTACTTTCTTCAAAACCCGGCTTTATCCATGAGGTTAAACCCGTATAGCCGCATCCCGTTTCCATACAAATCTACAATATAAATTCTCCTTCCCAGTCTCGATAAATCTCGCGTTAGGAGTTCTAGTTCCAAACATGGCGTTAGCTGGGGGGATTTTACCATGAATCAACGATAAAATAAACTCTAAAGACTTGCTGTCAAAGTGATTTTGTCTTGTCTTAATGCATTTGTGGTATCATTGGTTTGGAAGATTTATTTAAAAATCGCCATATTTTGCCCTGACGTTTGATTATACCCTCTTTTTACATGGCTGATTGGTTGATTGATGGTTGACTGATGTCTAGAACTTGTAAAGATATAGACCCTATTCATAAATGGCTGCCAATTTAAAATTCTTTTGTACGCATTTAAATTAGCCCAATTAACCTCGTTTGAGAGTAAAATTCTTTTGGATTATCAATTCAAAAACGAGGTTAGCTGGGCTAATTTTAATACTTACAAAAGAGTTTTTATTGGCAGCCATTTATGAATAGGATCTATAACGCGCGCTTTTATTGGCTGATAGTCCTGGCCGGAATTTCCCGTAATGCCAATGGGCATTGCGAGAAATGTCTTTGCGCGGCTAACTAGCCAAATCAGAAAATAAAATGCTAACGAGAGCTACATAATAAACTTCTTTATAACTCTCGCTTGCTCCGGACACTTCTAGAATAGTGCCTTGTGTCTATCTGGTATGTCGACCTCACTTCCAACAACTAACCTTGGTTGATATTCTCCGCTCGGATAATAAGCGGTAAATATTATGAACGATGCGCTTACTTGCTATAAGGCTTTGTTACCTTTTTAAACATACCAAGTATTACAGTCCACTTTAATCTGTTTTCCCGGCCTGTAGCTGTGGCCTCCATGATGGCAAAGGCACTGGGACGAGTTTACACACCGCTGGCCATGTAGTACCATACCCTCAGGGCAGACACAACCTTCCCGGCACTTTGTTTCGAGGCAGGGCAGGTGGAAATTGTCACAGGTCTTAGCACATTGCGCGCCACAGCTTACCCACTTTTGACCCAAAGGACAAACTGCGAAAAAAATATACGAACTGCATGTGCCTTTCTTGAACACATCAGTTGAACGTTGACTTTAATTGATACTTTGGGGAAAATAATGTTTACACGTTTGCCGACACATAGGAAACCGTAGTGCGCGAGACAAGCTTGAAAGACGTCGATGTACGCAATTGAATCGTTTATTTAAACATCTTTTTGACCGTATTTAACAGTGACAGCAAATTATTTGTTATTAAAATATTTTGTATGGATGGGCAGCTTGTACGTCTATAGCAGACGGAAAATAACTCACCTTGGCATGTTCTGTTGGCACACACAAAATTTCCATCCTTGCATAAACTGGAGAGATAAAAGTCGGAAGTTTTCATTCTGGATAGGCGTTATTTGTGATGTCGCAATCTTATAGAAACCTGCTGCCGTTTTCGCTATTAGCACTCCTGTATTAGTGCAGCAAGGTTTGCAATGAAAAACTGGTATCTTCCCTAAACGAGTACACGCGGTAAATCGCTCATTCTCTTGTCATACTTAACTTGACTGTTATGACTCTTTGTACAAATTAAAGCGTGCAATTTAACTCACAGAAGTCAGTTTTAAATTAGGGCATACTGGTTCGCAAGGGCCTATGTTATCTTGTGAAACATTGATCAATGTTCAATGTTAGAAAATTTACGCGCGAACGTACTTAAAGGATCAAAACAGCTCTCACCATTCATTGCAGTTAGTTGGTTTAATTACTGTCCCAGGATTATAGGCACGTCCATCATGGTAACAGGGGCACTGGGAGAGGGCCACACATTGGTTATCTTCCCTGAGGACCTTGCCTTTCGGACAATTGCAGCCCTCAGCACATTCCTCCTGACAAGGGAGGTCCATGGAGATTTCGCGGCACGTCCGTTGACACGAAGAGCCGCAGACCTGGTACACCTGTCCCTGAATGGAACAAACTGCACCTGAAAATAACCAAAAGATTATTTTTTCGTCTCATCGATTATACAAGTCTACTACGCATGCGTATTACGTGTCTTTCTTACCACAAAGATGAACAAGCGCCTTCAATAGGTACAATGTTTAACGCATATTGTAATATGCCATTTATAAGCCCTTGGCTTAGACAACTTTCTAAGGGGCTTTTGGATACGCCTTTTTTTTATAAACGAAAAGGAGAATCAAAGATAAAAAACCGTTTGCCGGGGCGAAATACTCACTACACTCCGGCATGACGTTGGAATTTATCCATTCGATAACGATCCCCTGTCTAGCACAGTCATGTACGTAAGCAGCAATGGCACTACACAGGCATTGGGTTCCTTGCTGACACCCGCACACGTCAAACATACAACTGGCGATATACCCATCAGCAGGGTCCACAGTGTGGTGACATCTGGTGAACGGAGCGTGCAGGAGTCTGTTACACAGCTTCTCCGCGGTGGCCTTTCGTTGAATCTGCATCTCGCAAGGGTGCTTTGATGCCTGCGTATCATTACAAGCAGGATTCACCTTCCAGGAATTTCCAAAAGCTGTAACGCTCGTTTCCACGACGTTTTCTTTGGTCGTCAAATCATCGTTTTGGTTGTTGTTGAAAGTTCCGCATAAGCCGCAAGTCATGCCACGAAAACGAGGTTGTACCATGACGTAAGCGCGCGAGATACCATCCCACTTGACATGTAAGCCAACAGGACTGTGTACTGACGTCATTGATGACGACAGGTGCCTGATGATGTAACCTACAAAGATTAAACAACAGCTTTGAAAAGGTAAATTCAGGAATTTTAATGTATAGAAGAACGAGAAAAGCTGGGAAAGAGAAGCCTGAGGAGTGTTTTGCAGGTCAGTGTTCGTCGTAGAGTTCTTACAAAAAAATCATGTCTGGATACAAGGAAACATCATTCCTAATTTACGTTATGAAATAAGCGTTTCAGATAGAAATTTCTGTGCTTTCATGGAGTTTCAGTGAATTAACGGCTCTCCCCAATAACGGTGTGTACAGGGACTTTTCATAAAAATAATTTATCTATAAGTGCCCCTAGAATTTATTCATAAAGTTGCTTTTCGTCTTATAAAGCTTTTTCACTCACATAGCCAGCAGCCATGCAAAATTATTTTAAATAAAGAAAGTGTTTCTGTTAGAGACAGTTTGCCTTACCGTGCCCCTCTGTACCTCCCCCCCCCCCGGGCGGGTCACGTGATTTCTGCGACCATGTGCTCTTAGCAGTTTGATGTGCGTTGTTTGTGTGTAGGCGGAAAGTTTGCTTTTACCCTCGCCTTTTACTTTCTCGATGTTGACATCTTGATTAGGCTTGAAGATGCCCAAAAATATGTAAGTGGTCGCTTATTTGTATTGTTTTTTTTGTAATTCAATATTTGTTCGATTCGCGAGCTTTACATTTGTAACTTTCAGCTGTACCGAACCGACGGAAGGACGAGTAACAGAATAAACATCTTCAGTGTACAATTTGTTTGTGGATTTCTTCAACAGTTTCCATAAGAAAGAGTTCAACTCCCACAGGATTACTTTGGGACACTAATGTAACGCGACTGCCGTGACTGACGTGGAAACACTCTGTATGTTTTGCCTGACTCTTTGCTAAACGACGGTTTACTTACTCTCTGCAACTCTGGGGAAATTTGCCACTTGAATGCCGTCAATAAGAACTGTCCCTCCTCCCCTGAGTGTGATAGTTGTGCCATTGAGATGTACGTACACGTTTTTGGTGCAAGACACTGTACCATCTGAGCCACATTGCACGTTATCGACCAGGACCGTGAAGGAGTTATTGACGCAGTCCTTAGCTAAAATGTATTGACATTTTCCCATGAAGGAAAACTGAAGCCCGTCAAATGTTCTGTAGTGCGGATCACCGCTAGCGGAACAGACTCCTAAAGAACGGTATAGCCTGGTTAGTCAGTAGAAAATGGTTATTTCTCTTGAAATGTTTAAGCAAGCAACCCCGGACGATGATCCTGCTGGTAAACGTTGGATCAATAGTGATCTAATCGACTTACCATAGAAAATGAAGACTATAAAAGCAAAGACCGATCAACCTACGTTCTATAGGTCTCTGCTTTCATATCATGATTCCTTATTTCTCATGGCCATAGGTGACATTTTCACACTGTGACAAAAATCTTGCAAATATGCATGAAAATGCACCGAATGCAACGTGTGGTGTAGATATGAGAAAGATGTTTATCTTTCCGTGTCATAAGCATCAAGGAAAAATTCCCAGGTCTGCCAAAAAAATTCCAACCCAAGAGCTTCCGCACACCACACAGGAACTCTTCAACTGAGCAACAGAGGACCCTTGGGACTAGGGCGGTGTAATTAGGTACAGCTTCCAGGGGTCTCCTGTGGTTGAGTGAGTGGTGGAGGTCTCGACCGCTGTACAGAAGTTTAATGGGCATATCCTGATTCTATAATTTATTTTTCATCTCCTATTTGTAAGACAAATTTATTCTTTTCAGTTGGAAGTTTGGGGGCTAAAATAGAAACTTCAACGGGCTAAAACAAATTGATATCACCTTTTCGGTACTTGAACAGTGATTAATCAAACACGAGAAAAGTCACAACAACTGCACTTACATTCGCTACCTTCATCCAAATACTTTCTATTGCAATTGCAATTAATTTCTACAAGTTTGACAATGCTTACCTGGACATTGTAGGGTTGTACATACCCACCGACCATTAGCACATGTACTTAGAAGCAAAGCAGAAAAATTCATTAATTAGTTTTACTTTTTCAGCTCAGTTTACATTTCTTTGTGACTTAGTTTGGTAATACAAAAGAGATGGCTGGCAAGAGAGTAAATCCCCCAAATCTTCTTCCCAGGGTAATCCGTCTCCAGCTCAAATTATTTCTAGACATCGTACGTTGCATGGAGGAGTAAAAAGCAGTTAAGCCGCTTGGACTGTCAATGTGAGCAAAATCCTCTTCACAGGACTGGCTATGTTAGACCCCCCTGGGATTTCCGAAACAGGAAATGATCTAAAAATAACTTGAGAAGGATAACCTTAGGAATAAGGTCTGTATGAGGGATTGGCTGTCTTACCCTTCATCCTCTCTTGAATGATTCTTTTTTTGAATAGAAAAGAAAAAAGTCTGCTAACTTCCATGATTGTCACTTTTCTAAGAGTAGATTGTTTATGTTTTATTTTGTTCTATTTTATTCATTGTATTTTTATTTGCCATTAGAAAAGATTGACTGCCGGAATTGGTCTGAGCAGAAGTGATCGTCTCCTCCGTTTAGGAGCCTACTCTCACTTCCTTAAGTTCACGTACGCAAAGACACGAGAAGAAAGTTACAGGGAATGCTTGCGGTCGATTTTTTCCTGCTGTTGTCGTTTCTGTATTTGTTGTTGCTGTCGTAGTTGTTGTCTGGAAAATTACTGGTTAGCTATGATTTACAGCGCAAAATTCCTTTCTACATCAATTGTTTTCGTTGTAAGTATCTCTTTTTACCGTAGTTTTTGCAAAATTACTAACCAGTTGTTGCAGTCTCGTTTGATAACTGAGTTTGGCGCGTAATGTTTCTTGTTGTGAAGACAAGGACACAGCTCTACAGGCACACACCGCTGACCATCATACACTGTGCCGTTACCACAGCGACAGCCGTCAAGACACCGCTGAGGGCAAACATAATTTCTCTTCTTTATTTGACATGTTGGAGGGCAAGACGATCCACATTCAGTGTACTCCAAAGTTTTTGGGCACGTGACAGCTGCATGAATAAAGCGGTATTTTAGGTTAGTTGCATTGGTACTCTAGAGGATCATGAATTTTCTATATCTTTTCACATGTGAGTTGTAGCTAAGAACGGGCTTTGACGATGTATACGATATTCACTATTGTCGTCTCCACGTAATATTCTCACAACCTATTGCAGAGACCCTTTTACAACCAAACTTACGAACTTTACGTGATAATCAAAGGCCCAGTATAGGTTTAATTTAACCAAAACAATTCGCTTCGTACGGTTCAAATTAGCTGCAAAAGTCCATATAGAAGATGAAAACTTAAACAAAGCGAAAAAAACACCAAAGTATAAAGGTAGGTCTCATCTAGAAACCTGTTAAGGTATTGTTATTACGCTTAAACGTGTTCTTCGCAGAGGTTTGTTAATTGGCTTTCTCCTGATACCCCAGTAATGAACTGACCACAAAAGGGACTTGTGTAATCATGAGTAACTTTATAATTTCAGTTCTTTGTCACTGATTTCTAGTTTTTGACTTAATCTTACTAAATTTACATGTTTAGCTGGCGTGCATGCAGAATCAAGAAGCACTTACGACAAATATCTCTTGTCCTCCATTGAATTGGCGCTTTATTTCGTGCGCATGCTCGTGAGTATTGGGTAAATGCAGAACATGCGCAGTCGAAGCGGTCAGTCAAGTTGCACTTGCAGAGTTCTTCTTCGCACATCTTGATGAACGGCGCAGGGTCAAGGATCACGTGACAAAGAAAGAACGTCGAGTTGCGCATATAGGAACAGATGCTTTGTATCTGAAGAGACAACGAAATCACAGTCTTGCGTAATTTATTGCAAAACATTAACATGTATACAAAATGTAAAGGTCTTTTAATTAGATTGATTGGTTTGAATCTAGAGTAAATTCGTAACTTTTTCCTTATCCAGAAGAACAGGGATTGTTTTGGGGGTAATTTAGACAAATAACAGATTTCCAATGTGTACGTGTGAATTTTTTTTCTGTACTTTGCCCTCGTTTCTCTATACCTGCGTGAATCCTCAATACATTTTGAAATTGTGTTTTCTTTCTTTTATTAATAATGGGTTATAAAATAGGGGCACCTTACATACTGCGTAAAAACGTCCAGTGATGACACTAACTTATTGTTGAACTCCCACATGTGCACGTTACCAAACTGTGTGACTTTACAATGTTTCGTGACAGTTACCTGCGTCATATTGCCTTGCGTTACCAAACTGCAAGGACTCTTGGTCTCTTCATCGCGGACGTTTGGACAGAAGTCGTTAACGTCTGTCATACGCCAACTGTTACCAAATTTAGCGATAGAGGAAACCTGTTGACCACCATACGTCATGACGTCATCATCCGGGAACCCATTGTAGTTGCCGCATAAGCCACAGGTTCTGTTCCTGTGATTGGCCGAGACATGTACGTACACTGCGTCAATCCCGTCCCATAACACACTTATTCCATTGTAGCCATACGTGATAACATAGTTGGAGACTTGCTCGATGACAACGTTGTTTACGACATGAGGAAGTGACACGTTTTTGTCACCCACCGTCACCTGATCTTGTTCTCCTAGATGGATCTATGAAATGGGGGGCTTAGAACTCAGACAATTTAATTCAAGCCTCTTTATTAAAGGCCACTTGGCTCGTATGCAGACTTAATCTTTACCTTGAAGGTTGAGTCTTCTTACGAGCCAAGTGGCTCATCAGGCCGGTGCTTATCCCGATTTCAGTAGCATGAAGCGACCAGGTGAGTATTTCTACTTCCCACAGCATGCTAGTCCATCGCGGGGTTACCCTCAGCATTAGGTTCGCCGGTACCCATTTATACACCTGGGTTGAGGCACTGTGAGAAGAAAGTGTCTTGCCCAAGAACACAACACAATGTCCCCGGCCAGGGCTCGAACCCGGACCGCTCAATCCGGAGTCGAGCTCAATAACCATGAGGCCACCGCGCCTCCCCTTACCTTTACCTTACTACTGTTTTTTTTATGCGTTACGGTTTACATATTGCTGCCTATATAGAGTTGCGACAGAAATCTAAAAACATTTATGGCTTCTGGCTAATATTTTACGTTGCATGATTTTCGATTAATCATCTACACGAAATGAATTTACCTTGATGTCCAGTCCTCCCAGGTATAAATTGACCGCGCGACGACAATTTTTAAGATCGCTACACAAAGGATCAGTGAACACGTGAACAGAGAACAAGTCATCCCGGCAATCGTGTATCAGTTTGTACGTACAGCGGCCTGGGAAGTAGAAGTAGCGGCCATCGAAGGTTTTGACATGTGATCGCCACGTGAAACACAGTTCTGGCTCGTTCATGGCACCACGAGGAACTAGAAGGTTAGAGAAAAGAGATAAGATAATTTTATTTTGATTCATTCTTCTTTTTAAAATGATGCAAAAAGACGAGTTACAATAGCGAGACACTGAAGGTTTCCGTCAAATCTCTTCAATACGGTTTGCGACTTATCAACATTCTTATCTAGGCTTTTGGTTTTGTTTTTCGATGAAGCCTATGGTCGCGAGAAATGAGTACGTAGGCTCAAGGATCTTGTGACCAACGCCATTCTGCTTGCGGTATTGTTCTTTTGTGACTGAGTAAGAACTAAAATCTTATAGACAAGAGTCTGTTTTCGGCAAACATCGTTTGCACGGCAGTTTTTCTTCATTTATACAGGAACTATCAGAAAATGAATCTTGCACACCAGAAGATTTGGTTTCAAATAAGTCAAAAACAACTGCTGTGTTAAAGAGCGATTGAAACGTCTCAGGTGTTACGTAACCGGTGGCTCATGCCTACATTTTTTCTCATTTCTGATTCAACTGAGCAATATTTCCAACGTTCATGGTGTTACAGGTTTTCACTGTAAATACATTGCTTTCAGTCCAAGGTTTTTCTTCCTACCGTACAACGTGCGTATAACATTTAGATAAGCTTAATACTTACGAGCAGTGGACAGAATTGTTCTTGCCTCAATTGTTACGATATCTGCAAAAACAAATATGACATTGGGACTTCTTAGTGGGACTTCTTAGTGATCATTAAGATGATATTTGAGAAATAGAAAACATGTTCCGTGTTTATATCGAGTTATAGAAACACGAGTGGAAGTTTGGGAGAACGAGAAATGCTGTGAGAACACGAGCCGAAGGCGAGTGTTACCACAGCATTTTTGAGTTCTCCCAAACTTTCACGAGTGTTTCTGTAACTCGATAGAAACTCGGAAACATGTTTTCTACTTTTTTTAGAGAACACCGCGACGAAAAAAGGAAAACAACTTGTTAACTTTTATTATCAAAATGTAAATTCTGTTTGCTCGCGCTATCATGACGTCAACAGCTCGTGCTAGTTCTGTGTTTCTATCGAGTTATAGAAACACGATTTTTAACCAATCAGCGCGCGTATTTTCAAAGGGCTGTTTTCTAATACACTGTGGTAAACGTTTATGTGAACATTAAGATCGAAATGCTAGATGAACAAACGGCTTTTTCGGATTTGTAAATAGTGGTAGGAGAAACCTAATAAGTGGAAGCAATAACGACATCTAAGTTCGCCTATGAAGCAAATATGAACCATGCAACGAATGAATAATGCATGGCCGTGAAATCATTCTTACTGTGTACGGTATGTTCGTGCAACTTATCTCCCAAAAAGCTTCAGTTTGAAATCTAAAAATGTCGTGATATCATTTCCATTTTTATTGGCAAAATTTTTTTCGTTTAACTTTAACCTATGTTGAGCTGGATCAAAAATCGAAACGAATCCAGAAAGAAAAGTGATGCGTACGCAGAGAATAGCAAGAATTACCTGATAGTAAATTGGTGTAATTGTACAACACATACCCTGATCACATGGTACATTAGCTGGCCAATCACACTGATTGATGGTGTAGTTATACCTCAGGCCAGCTGGGCAGTCCATCTTATAAGTTAAACCATTAGAGCATGATATGAATCCATAGCAGTTGTGTGGATCTTTGTAGTTACCATCGAGTAAACCAGAACAGAAAGATATTGCTGCAAAACAGAGAAAATTCAGGAAAACATTCGTAATGCTGGTCCCAGTTGTTCAAAGGCTAGATAACGCTATCCACCGGGTAAATCACTATCTAGTGGATAGTGTCGAGTTAGTTTTGTCAACAACTGTCTGCTGGCAAGAGACTCATTTTCTCTTGCTGCTGGACAGAAATTTATCCACCCCATCAGCCTCGTACCAAGTCGCTATTTACGGATCAGATTGGATTGTTTCGAAGAGAAAGTGATCTGGATCGAGTGGAGCGCGCGGAGAGTTATAGAAACAACCTTTTCCATGTCACCACGCGCGTCTTAATCCACCCTAGTGTCCAATCTTCTCTTTCCCCAAAACACATAAACAGTGACTGGGTACGAGTCTGTCTCCGAATAGCGTTATCCGCACTTTGAACAAACAAGCGCGGATTTGCTGACAGTAAAACCAAAACGAACCACCATTTTAATTTCTCTAAATGTGCCACTAAAGTTCCTTTACAAGCCCGTATAAAAATTAATTTGAGTTCCCTGATCATTAACATACCTTTTTTCTTGTGACCCTTTCAAAGAGTAAATTGAATTCATAGATTTACGTGTTTAATCTAGCACCGTGGTTAGAATCACCAATTTTAAAGACGGATTGCGCACAAGTCTTTATAGGTCTTGATAGAATTTATACAAGGAGTATTGTGGTGAGCTAGAGAACTAACTACCCTCTCTTCTAAACTGAAATTTATGGGTACAGCTTTTGATTGGAATTTCTCTTAACACAACGGCGAAATTCACTGACCTGTTTCGCACGTGAGCCCAGAGTAACCAGGCCTGCACATACATGTGGCAGGCGCTGTACAGGTGCCACCGTTTTCACAGGGGCTAGAACACAGAGCTGAAGTAAACAAATTAACAGACAAAGCAAAATAAGTTTCAGGATTAAAACTTGGGCAAAAAACAATTTATACTTTTGTTTTTATTTTGTTAAGTTGGCAACCTCAGCTCCAGAGACCGCGATCCTTGTAGAAATTAAAGCACCAACCTCAGTAGCCCCTGGTCACTTCCAGTTTGAAAATCTGCGATTTACAGACTTACGCTTAAATCTGAGTGGCTGAGAATGAAGAAGGAGTACTGCGCGCCAGCCTTCTGAAACAATCGGAATCGCCCAGCGGCTGGTATGCTTTGTGACCGAAAGGGACGTGACGCGTTGATAGCACACACAAAATCGAAGCATCAAAGCCTCACAGAGGTAACAAAAGATCACGAAACGCAACGAAAATAAATNCGCACTTTGAACAAACAAGCGCGGATTTGTTGACAGTAAAACCAAAACGAACCACCATTTTAATTTCCCTGAATGCGCCACTAAAGTTCTTTTACAAGCCCGTATAAAAATTACTTTGAGTTCCCTGATCATTGACATACCTTTTTTCTTGTGACCCTTTCAAAGAGTAAATTGAATTCATAGATTTACGTGTTTAATCTAGCACCGTGGTTAGAATCACCAATTTTAAAGACGGATTGCGCACAAGTCTTTATAGGTCTTGATAGAATTTATACAAGGAGTATTGTGGTGAGTTAGAGAACTAACTACCTCTCTTCTAACCTGAAATTTATGGGTACAGCTTTTGATTGGAATTTCTCTTAACACAGCGGCGAAAATCACTGACCTGTTTTGCACGTGACCCCAGAGTAACCAGGCCTGCACATGCATGTGGCAGGTGCTGTACAGGTGCCACCGTTTTCACAGGGGCTAGAACACAGAGCTGAAATAAACAAATTAACAGACAAAGCAAAATAAGTTTCAGGATTAAAACTTTGGCAAAAAACAATTTATACTTTTGTTTTTATTTGTTAAGTTGGCAACCTCAGCTCCAGAGACCGCGATCCTTGTAGAAATTAAAGCACCAACCTCAGTAGCCCCTGGCCACTTCCAGTTTGAAAATCTGCGATTTACAGACTTACGCTTAAATCTGAGTGGCTGAGAATGAAGAAGGAGTACTGCGCGCCAGCCTTCTGAAACAATCGGAATCGCCCAGCGGCTGGTATGCTTTGTGACCGAAAGGGACGTGACGCGTTGATAGCACACACAAAATCGAAGCATCAAAGCCTCACAGAGGTAACAAAAGATCACGAAACGCAACGAAAATAAATGCAACGAAAACGAACATCGCTTACGTTTGCTGCATCTCTCTCCTGTCCACCCACTCGGACATGAGCACTGGTAGGGTTTTATACAAAGACCTCCATTCAAACAACTTGGAACACAAACAGCTTGAAATTAAAACAAAAAACAAAAAACAGACCAATTTGAGATATACTTGAAATGCATTACTCAGAGAAATCAAATGTGTTAACCATCAGGGATGAAAAATGGTTTTTGAGTAGTAAAGGGCGTGCCTCATGAGCTCTAAAATCGAAAACAATTTGCAAATATTTATTATCACATGAAAATTAGTTCAAGATAAATGAACGGTCACTGACGACTTTATTTACTGTTTAAATCCTTACAGGCCAGGCTTGATAAATGTATTCTCCCTTATCAAATTTATTCTGATCATTAGAATTCTTCTTGATGGGTTTCTTTATTCTCATCACCTGTCCCCTTGAAAATGTATTAAGCTTGTAAGGAGAGAAAAGATGTTGACCTCTCTTGTAAATGATGGATTAATGAGACCAACTAACCTTGTTCGCAAGCCTTCCCTGTGTAACCAGACGAGCAGAAACACAGGCCGTCCGAACACAAACCGTTATTTTGGCAAGATGGTGAACATGTCTCTATCATAAGCAAAGCACAGCAATTAGAAAACAACGTTAAAGATATTGAGTGAAAAAGCTCAAAGCGACGTAAAGTTGAAAAATTCTTTGTTCATACGAATAGCTGTTGCAAAAAATGCGACGAGAGATTATTTTAGACTAACCCAAAATTGAATTGATGATGCTCCACACGTTTTCAAATTTCGTACTCTGTAAAAAATTACTCAAGCAAATACAAAGAAATGAAAAACTTAAGTATTTTTGCGTGATTCCATTAGAGTTACTTCATGAGAAAGATGAAGTTTTCTGTCAGTTTCCCAGCTAGAAGTCGACCTTAAGACCTTCTGGTTTCCAGCCCAGATGCTCGCTCTATCACTGAGGTACAGGGAAACTCGTTAATCTTAGGAGGTTCGAGGTACATGGTACTTCATGTATGGACACTCACTTGTACACTTGGTTGCGTTCATTCCGTCAGCAACTGTACCATTAGGGCACGCCAAACAAGATGTCTGCCCATCGTATCGCTGATAAGTATCCTGTTTGCATCCAATACACTGCTCAGCATGTACGTCATGATACGAGCCAGCTGCACAAGGAACTATACACACAGAAGAAGACTTCAGGAACATTTCGCGAGACTTATATAACGCAATCTCGTGATTGTTCGACTGTTTCACTGTCTGTTGACGAGAGATCTAAAAAAGCTAAATTTAGCCCGCCATATAGCCCGCCACATCACAGATCCTCTGGATTAATTTTTACTTTTGTCAAACCTCTCCAAATCTCATGCTTTAATTTCATTGGTATTAAAATTGCCAACTTTTTATGTCGATTTTTGTTTCCTCTCGCTTTCCATTTCTATCAAGCCACGTGACTGAGCATGCTACATGGTATCCACAAAGAGCCTATTGGTTTTCAAACGAAGAATAGAATAGGTTTCCTTTGCGACTTCTGGACACGGCTCACATGTAGAGGCATAATTTAGATAGCAAATGCTGCAATAAACCCTTTATTAGGAAACGACAGACCTCAGTCCTTCTGTTCCTTGCCTCTGACCAGAAGAAAGAAAGGTTCTGGAGATGCGATTAACTTTACGCATGTAATCACTCACCACAGATGCCATTACTCTCCACCAGTCCGTCAGCGCAGCACAATCCCTTCATGTAATACGTCACGACGGCTTCAGTTGCGGGCTGTGCGCCGAATAGTTTTGGTGCATTACGTGCAGGTTGAGTTCTCAAATCCATGAAAGTTCCAGCTCCTTTGACGCACTTTATAGCACTGCTTGACAGAGATTTGGATGTGGCTAGTTTTGGTACAAGATGAAATACTCCCATTATGTATGTCACGTTGATTCCACGTGTGACTTGCACGTCACGCAATTTTACCGTTACATCTCGACATAAGTAAAGCCCAGCTCTGGCCTTGCCGGCGATCTTCTTCATCACGCTAAGAGCCTGGTTTCGAGTTATGGTGACGTTGTTGACAGAAGTATATCCATACTCAATGGTAACGTTGATTTTCCAACACTTGTTCTCTTCTTCGATTGGAGCTTTTGAAGAAAATTACATTTCATTATAAAGGAATTAACAAACAATTTCAAAACGTGTGAGACGATGATTCCTTTAATTAATGTTTGATGTGGTGTGTAGAACCGTACATATTCTAAGAAGCGCGCAAGTACTTTGAATTTTATGGAAAGCTGCTTTCCATCGAAAACCCATAATCACCCACTGACGTCACAACCTCCCATTAAGAAAAGTATACAAAGGTAAAGGCCATATCTCACAAGCCCACTAGCTTATCAGGCCGGCGCCAGGAGCCCATCACTAGGCGCTTGCAGTTCCCATACTAAGCCTATGTCACGGCATTTTTACAGACCGGTCTATTTTTAGGCTTCTTTTCCCGCGAATTAGGTCAATTCCGATCTACATGAGCGCGCATCGGGAATGAAAAAAATGGCAGCCTCAAGTGGACATGTAAATAAAATAAAATTATACCAATCAAATACGCTAATTCCCTCTCTATTTTTAAGTCCGTGCTTGTTATTGGTCACTGAGGTTCCTGTGGGGGTCTGAGTTCGCGGTAAATTCAAACTAAAAATATATCGGTCTGTGAAAACGCCGTGACTGGAATATGGGGTAGTTGCACGCTCCTAGTGATGGGCTCTTGCCGGCGCTTATCTCTGGTTTCAGAACCATGAAGAGACTAGGAGTATTTCTGCTCCTCCCTGAATGGGATGCTAGTTCATCACGGGGTTACCCCCAACATTGAATTCGTTAACACCCATTTACACGCCTGGGTGAAGAGAGGCACTGTGAGAGTAAAGTGTCTTGCCCAGAAACACAACACAATTTCACCGGCCAAGGCTTGAATCCAGACCCCTCGATCTGGAGTCGAGTCGCACTACCCATGAGGCCACCGTGCCTCCCACAATCTCCAATTAAGCTTTGCGAATATAAACATGGTTGTGAGAGAGAAATTTGAATGTAAAAAAATTAAAAAGGAAACAAAACGCCCACTAATATTCAAACCAGGAGAAGACGGTTATGGACTTCAATTCAAACCTCTAATAAGTACAGTTTTACACCAAAACGACTTAGTTATAATTCACAAAAAGACTGTTTTTCGTCGGGAATTCTTTTAAAAGTAAATGTGTAATTTGTTCGGTTTTTAGGAGAAGTTCCCTCCTCTATTGTAAACTTACTGGATGAGTTTGAACCGACAAGCTGCCTCTTCTCGTCGTTGGAATAGTCCTCATCGCCTACGAAAGAGAAAAAGAAAATGTAATAATTTAATCATTGGTTTCTTTCTCAGGACTTTTGCTATCACAAAAAATACTGAACATACGTTGATTGCAGTTGGTGCCTTTCCAGCCTTTACAACACCTCTGTACCCTCCTCAGTACTGTTTTGGTCACCTCACGAACCCCTGGCTCAAATACCAGTCTGAAAGTAATGACAGAAAGATCAAAACGGAAATTTTAAAAACTGGAACAAACGATGCAATAAACTCCTAGAAAGAACGCTAAACTGACTGATTTTAACGACGAAACGTCGTTTCATCTTCAACTGATCCGGGGTTAGATAAAAGGATCCTTAAATCAATGACAAATGTCAGTTAAATTGTGTGTTGCTTGTAAAACTTACTTTCTTGAGGGATTTTCCTGGGGCGCGGAAGGGGAGGGAAGGGTAGACACAATTTGCCAGTCTGTGTATTCTCAATTTATACTTTGAGAGGACTTCGACACTGTCCACAACTTTTATACCTGATCGTACATTTTTGATACGTTTCGGCGGGATATCAGGCGAGTTTGGTCGAACTATGGTTCGTATTTTGGTGAGACGTAGTCGAACCAGAATACCCATGGCGAGACCAAACGAGCCTGATTTCCCGCTACATGTTTGCTACTTTCAAAATATTCTTTAAAACTTTATACCATTTAGTTCAACAATTAAAATTGTTGAACTTTATTGTCAGTTAATTATGCCTTTGTTATGACCTAGCTTGGCACAAGTCTCCTGAAGCTTAGTGGTTTGAGCCCCGTCTTGTCTGTCTGGGAGATCATGGGTACGACACTCGTAGGCGAATCAGAAGTTGGTCTTTCTCCTTTGCTCAAGTGATAAAACTGACTGATAGTTGAGACCCTGTTAGGTGTAAATTCCGACAAGCGACATGGCCTTGAAACGGCGACATGAGAGCTATGATTTGGCGACGAACGACAAACTACTCCAGCGAAATCGGGAAAGCGACACTAATGGCAAGATAGACCGACAACGAATTTCGGAACTGAGAATGCAGTGATTGTTTTAAACGTCTGAGTCGAAGTGAAGATGCATTTCCACAGTTTTAAATGTGTTTTCCTCTCTCATGCGCGATGTTGACGGGTCGTGAAACCCAGGTTTTCTTATATATGCTAAAACGTCCACGTCGAATAAATCGAGTCCGTCATTGCTGAGTATTTTTTCTCACTCTCAGCTGAGTGAGCAGTGCCCTAAA